AGGGTGCGAGAAGAGGTGCTGTCATGATGACGCGCGCCTATCATGGTCGCAAGATCTTTGATGCTGGCCATCAAGGACCTGCACCATGATGCGCTGCGAGTGGACAAAGGGGACCATGAGCCGCCACATTGGGGCGGAAGGAAGTCTTGATACCTCCCCCGGCTCTGGAGTGGCTACAGGAAGGTTCAGAATATGCATATCTTGAACGCTGCAAGCGGTTAACTTGGGTCGGTGAAAACGTGAATGTGGAAAGTTTCGCGTGTTCGCAGCATATCATGTAGTGGTATCGCGGCAGCGCTTCGCGGTCAAAGATGCAGTATTGCTGGTATTGTGAGTGATGGTGAAGACATCACTTGAACAAGCTGTCACTGTCAAGCTCAGCATAGTCGCTGCTGGATGATGAGACTATTAGAAACAATTAGGGCTGGCTTGCGTAACGGCTGTAGGCATCAATAAAAGTCACACTGTTCGAATTGTGATAGCCTACATTGACTATCAAGCACGCAGACTTACCAGTGACGCCAGAAAAGCCCTCCTTTTTCGTGCGAAGCGATAAATCTGCCCACGCGAAGATCCGTACATCATGCTCGTGCTACACCACCACACCTTGAAGGGACTGATTCAACATCAGCATCCCTGTACTGGTCAGGCAGGCGTCTCTTCGTCACGGGGTCTCAGCATGGAAGACACCAAGAAAAGGGAGCGGTGAAGGCGACGCTCGAGACACCAAAACGAATGTCTGGTCTGGCCGAGTGTTTCACGGCTATGAGACGACAAGCGACAAAATCTCGGAGGTAGAAACAGCCAGCAGATATGCAGATGTGTCGGGACAACAAAGAATACACCCAAAGACAATAGAACATTAGTACCTGTGCAGTCTTTAACTCACCCGAAAACGATGCTGTTGCTGTTCCTTGTATGCATCGCTGCTCAGCAATAGCATCTCCGTCAGACATAGCGACCGTGCCGCAGGTATTGCCGTATGAAGCCATGCTGTCCATGAGTGTCAACTACACTCGTCTTTGTCAGCTTCCATGGCGTGACCTTTGCTCATGAGACGAAGCGCGGGACATTTCTCGTACCTCAGCGTCTCAGGGTCTCCGACAAAATCTGTGCTCCTGGATCATCACGACAGTGCAAGACATTCTGGACTCGAGAAGCTCTTTGTGTAAAAGCCTAGCTCACTGACAGTTCGGATAACGGTGCGGGCGGTGTAAGACAGGTCTGAGACTTCAGGATTCGTCGTTTGTTTTGCTGATGCAAGAGTGCGAAAGTTTGACGCAGCATGCAGGACCTCACAGCTCTTCCGCTAGATATTCTATGTTTCGTATTAGGTAGAAGCAAATCGCAGTTCCACGAAGGAGAAAATTTTAGCATGCGTTATGATAGACGAGCTGACGAAGAAAGCTCACCCCAAAAAGAAGTGCAAGGTACAGGCAAAGACCAGTGCTTTTCGTCTTCTCTGGTGGTGAATCGGCGACAGTAAAACGTGCAGAGATTCCTGTGACCGTTTGGATCCTAGTTTTGCCGCACTCGATACTTGTGGGGACTCTTGAACACGTCACTGATTTACGAGACGACGTGCGCATGTTGCCCTGTCACGCTTCTCTGAACTCTCATACTATCACTTTGCTAATCTTTGTACGATCCTCTTACTGCCTGCTCCTTCTTCTTCGTCGCAAATTAGTGTTACAATTACATCTTCGTGGTCTTCAACTGTGCATGAAGTAACTCCAACGCACCTGTCCAGCCAAGAGGTATCGCTTTTTCTATGATAGCATCTCTTGCACCGCAATTCAGTTCCCGATACAGCAGATTATCCTATAACTGTAAAGCTATGATATTGTCTCGCTCTTGTCTCCACACTCTACAACCATTCATAGTCGATCTGCATTACACTGGTCCAGCTATCATGAAGCTAACTTCACCCTTCGATCGGAGCACGCATCAGGACCACACTATGTTCAACATGCATATCTACAATTTCTCTCTTCTTGTGTTCTGAAGCGACTAGTTACCGGCGATTTGAACTGCGGACTTGATCTGGTCTGATCGCGCTCAGGGCACGACTCAAAAGAGTGAGCCCCATGCTAGCACAACAGATGATAGTGTTTGGGGCTGAGTGCGTCAATACATGCGATCAATCGTCCCCCTGAGGCACCGTCAAAGGCTGCATTCGACCGATATAGCGCTGCTACAGGCAATGCATCACGATCGCAGGTCTGCATGCTTATGGGTGCGAGGCGTCTAACCGACTCGTACTCTCACGCTATTGAGACAGGCACGATCATTAGTCAACATCTTGATGAACGCCAGATATCTTAGAGTAGAAGCAAGCTGAAATGACTCTCGATCGGGTTTGACAGAATGCAGACAGTTGGCCCTAAGCCCCAAGAAGTCATCACCATCACATACGCAAAATTAGTCCTCAACTCGAAGAAGCGAGATCACAATCATCAGAGCCCACAAGCCCCGCAGCATTGCGAGACCGCAGTTCATCGATGGCGATCTTCTCAACTAACTTTACATCGGTGGAATGAGATAACTCGATGCTCCCTGTGTAACTTCGAAGGCGAAGGCCGTGGTCTTGGAGAAGCATACCATTCATGACCCAGATCTAATCGCTTGTGGTAGGACGGGGGTATGCATGCCATGATATTGACTTCGCCGTCCAGATACCGCTGCAAGAACTCACCAGCGTGAACGCGATGGAGACGATGCACTATGTTCCGGACGAAGCTGGAAGTGGTGTCGCAAGACAGCAGATACATCTGCGTATCCGATCATCCTTTAATGATAATGTTTGAGCAGCACATGACCATTGTCGACCTTGAGGGGACCTGAGAATGGTGCCGAGGTGTGAGCGATAATGCCATGCCATCTTGCACCGCCGCCCATGATGCCGTGCGTCCTCTTCCCACTGTCGTTCGCACTTGAACCAATGGCACATACAGTGGAGAAGGGGTTTGCCTGGGAGTCAGATCGATGCTTGGTCCCGGAAGCGCTGGGAGGACACAAGTCTCATTCTCGTCGCATCATCATGTCGAGCCAAAGATTCAGATCACACTCATGATGACGCTTCGCAACCACAGAGCTGGTGGGTGGAATCATAACTCATGACCGTGTTGCGACAGGAACGCTTCCAAGCATCGGCTTCAACCTAGATCTGAAGCTCTTCGTCTAGTAGATCCAGAACGCATATCTGATAGGGGTTTCAGACAATATTCACTTGTCTTTCCTGCGCGTCCGATCGAGACTTTCCCCACCATACCGCGCCAGGCGTCATCGAGAGAAAAGTAGCCTATTCTTCTTCGCGCGAGCGTGCTGTTATATGCGCCGATGTGCTGGAAACTGCACTTGGAATCAGAGCTGCCTCTCGCGCATTACGAGCAGCGCGTGGCCGCACATGTGTTGATATGCATCGGTACGATACAGATCACGTCGTGTCACTAAGTGATGATGGGCGCTGAGCTTGTAAAAATCATTATTGCCCTTGACGTTGGTTAGGGATGGCGGGGGCGTCGTCACGCTAGTCGAAAAGGCCTAGCGTCGACGCGGGAGAATAGAAACTCCGACCCCGGAAGCGGCCGCGCTCGCCATCGAAACGCTGAGAACGCGACCTCCACTCCGACCACCATCACCGCCATCGTCCCTAACCATCTCGACCTTACTTGCTAGCCGTTTTCAACCACAGCCACCGTCTCTCGTCAGCTCCTGGCCTCCGCTCCTCTTCGCCAGCCTGTCGCCTTGCCTCAGTCCGCCATCCCCCGGGACCTTTGACGTGCGCACGGCGTTGTCGGCCTACAGCCCACGCGTCGGCGACTCACGCGTCAAAGGGGCGGTTCTCAAGCAGTCACAGGCTGTGCGGACACGACGGGGACAGCAGTTCACGAGCCGACACCGCGCTTCCGTTCCACCCAGCACCATTCGCCGAGCTGGATACAACGAGTCAGGGCTGCTCTCCGCGCACAACGCGTCAAAAGCCCGGGCGGGTGGGTTTCCCTTGCGCCTGCTTCATCGCAAGGGGGATATCACTTGTGAGTGATACTTCTGCACCATGGTCCGCTGGCTTGTCCCCAAGAAGGGTGTGCCCGTGTTGGCAAGCGTGAGATCGGACCCTGCTGCACAGTCACCATGTGTCTTGGTCGTGAAGTACAACGAGGAGCCATTGCAGCTTAGCTTCCATTTACAATGCACGAATTTCATTCATGGCTTCGATGATGAGCCAACGTTTACTTTGATCTATGATGCTGACAACCTGATGCGCGACGCGACTACGCTCAGCGATGCTACCACGTCCCTTTCCCACGACCAGTTGACCTCCATCGCACGCGCCGGAAATCCCCAAATAAGAGCATTGGCTTTGACGCTCGCGAAGCCATGCAAGATCAGGTGGCCTTCTTCAACCGCTACCTTCACATCGAAGAGCGGATATGAGGCCCCCTTCCACCGCCTGGCTGCCCTCGCGAAAGCTACAGCGATCGATATCACCTTCGACTACAATTGGGTGCACGCCAACAATCGTCTTCCTCTGGAACGCTTGTTCAAAGAGATGGGAGCGTTTTCGGGGGTCTCTGAGAGTGCCGATGGATATAGATACGCGAATTGGACAATCTTCTGTACCGTTGAAGAAGACCACCAACTACCACCTTCGTACACAAACGCGGTGGGCGCAGGTGCATCGCAAAAGCGACCCAGGCGTGGTAGGTTATCCCGTGTCACAATCACATCCTCGACAATTACTCATACGCAAGATAGTTACACCGCCCTCGCAGCCAGCATCGCCGCCTCATAAACGTCCGCACTACGATCAAGGGTCGCCCACAGAAGTCGCGACATCCTCACCTTGTCCATCCGGCACATCCCATCATTCGCCATCCGAGAAGGAGGAAGCGAAGTTAATAAGTGCACACCCATCTCCATACGCCAGTGCCGAGCTCGCCTTCCAAGACGTCGTCAATAAGGCCGTTGAAGCTCAGCTTCCAGCCCTGGTCGAAAGCATGTTGCCCAACATTCTCAGGAGCATATTGCCGGATGTCCTTCATAGATCCCTTGCTCCCAGACGATCACCGTCTTCGTCGCCTCCCCCTAGAGCCAGCTGTACGCCCCAACCTTCGCCTTCCCTTGGCACACTCATAGCCGACCGCCTGGAAGTTCTGGCCAAGGATCACTTGGCTTCGATCTTTGCCGATGCCAATGACCAAGCGTACAGCCTCCGTGTTCAAGCTGAGGGAGAGTTTGAGGACGTGGTTGCCGACCACAAGCTCGATGTCGACACAATCAAGGAGGACTGCATACGAGAGCTTGGTGAAGTGGTTGACGACAAGCTGTGCAAGTTCAAGGAGGAGACTGAGGAGATTGTCGAAACTGCCGTGGAAGAAGTGGGCACCAAGAGCGGTAAAATTCGCGACGACTTTTGCGACGGGCTGGAGGAGTTCGTGAAGATAGCTTCTGCTTCACTCAAGAAGTTGAGAGAAGGAAAAGGCTACCGCGATCGTATGTCGACGAGTCAAGACTAAGCATCATGAAGGTATTCACTACATGATGGATCCTCAACTGTTGCTTGTGTTGTCATTGCCGTCTGACGCTTAGACGTTGTTTCCTGTCTCATCATACAACGCATGCCTTGCAAGGTCGCATAGTCGCATGTGACTGGTGCTTTTTGACTCCCGTGCAGCCTCTCGCTCTCCAAAGCATCTTCGTCAGCCTTCTTCGGAGTCGAACTTCACCCTTTTACCCAGCTATTTGCTAGGCTTGCACAGACCGATTACCGAACGCTGGGATCGTATTCCGCTTTGCGCACCGTTTTTCTCAAAGACTTCACCGGTTTTCCATCATGGCAGTGATTAGCGGACTCTTGATATGATGTCGACGCCTTCATACCATGGCAATCGTGCGATCAGGGATGAGATAATAGACTGCGTGTTCCACCCACATTCGGGTCAAGTCCTGGTTTGAGCTGGTGAACAACATTATACCTGAGTACACGGTATGATTGCGATAGCGTGAATACTCGTGCGATCAGGGCACATCCGTCAGTATCGCCATTTCATGCCGCCAGAAACGGAAGGCAGAATGAATGTTGAAACAAGTGTTCAGACCGAAGGAGCAGCGCGACGTTGGCTCTGTCGCAGGCGCGACGTATGTGATTAGCCCCCTGCATCGGCTGGAGCAAGAGATCATAACGAACCTCATCAGATCGTTCCAGCCTGCGCGGCCGAGCCAGACGACTTGTGTCGCATCGTATAGTGCGCCTTATCTCACGCTGCATATGAGGGCCGATCGAGCCCCAAAGCCCGCTTTACGTTTTGTCAGCTGCCGGCGTCAAAGCACGAGGTCTTTTCTCAACCACCACATATGAAAACGCCAGCAGCTGTTACGGTGTAGCTAGGATGAGGATATAAGCTCTTGAGAAAGCAATGTCGCGGAAGAACTCAATGCCTCATCTACCAATAGATTCGACTGGTGATTGAACGAACGGCCGCAACAACGCTTGTCTCACCCATCCTGGCATGCGCGATAACCCGAATACAATGTCGCACCCACCAAGATCAGGTGCTTCTCATGACCGCGCAGTCCGGTTAGTCTTCGCATCCAGATGTAGCTCTCGGTCGTTCTATCGCGCTCCGAAACCTCGTCCCGGCTCAGGTAACTCCTGCAGACTGCCGTCAGGCCAGTAGTAGGAGGGACATGTCAGAAGCATTAGCATTGGCGCAAATCGTTTGTTCTTCGGGTGGTGAAGAGATACAGCGCTTAGTGTCAGGTCTTGTTCAGATGGTGATGGTTGTCGGCATGGCTACTCTCCCAGCTTCTGACATAGGACCTTGTTGTCGGCTGCAGCGTTCGGGTCTTCTAACACCACCCTCGGATGTGCATCCAGCGGCCACATATGCGGCTCTAAACATTTGGAATTGTACATTACTCGTTGGAGACGCCGACTCGACGCAGCCGGCGGAGGCGAGCACGGAAGACACATGCTTCTCAACGCTGATTCAACCTCCGGGGCAGTGTCAGTATGGGTTTAGTCTATTCGCCTGCTTGCAAGACATTTCATCTCCACCAGATATGCGGTCACCGCTACGTTCCCATACACTATTGCCATACGAAAGCGTCCCCTTCAAAGGCACACTAATGTTCCTTCTCCGCAACCGTGCTGATCCGTCGCCCCGCTTCTTGTACGTTGCTGACGTCCGCAACAATCGATTATAGACTACGGTTTGCAACGAAGCTGCCGTCCCAGATTGCGCATACTTCACTGGTACTCGTTTCCAGTTCTTTACCCACACATCATACACGTCGTTGACTGCGTAGACGCTTTGATCATGAGAACCTACGAACGCGCGTCGCTATGTCTGGAAGCAGCTTTTGGTTTCCAGGTTAACGTGCTTGAGGTACTGGCAGTGAGCATGATCCTAACTCTTCGTGGTCACGATATACGCTGACTTCTCACACCGACACAGCCCACGTCTGCATCCAGGCTACCTCTTGGCCCTGCCCCGGCGCTGATAGCAAGCAAGCTCATCCGTGCTGCGAGATTTTACCCACATGCCGGTCCCCAAGATAATTGAATGGCGATGCTTCTCTAAGCTATCTGATATTCACTTGTACGTTGCGCGTTGTCAGCCAGGTAACCTCCATACAAAGCGACGACTTCTCGCTAACATCTACCCGTATTTGTGATTACGGACACCTGCAGTTGAGCATGCAGCAAAAGCAAGCGGCCCACACCTTCTCTTCATGGTCGGAGATCCTGTGTCTAGATGAACAACATCATTTCAGCAACATTTCGTTCATGAAAGCAGACTGGAACGCATCACGGCTCGAGGAAAGAAGACAATAGAGAAGTCTGCTCATTTCTATTCGCGGATCCCTCAATCTCCTCTCGCTATGTCCTCAAGAACTGTACAAGCCGAAGCTCTTGGGCCCAACGTACGTCTCCTGCCCGTCCTTCTTCTCGATCTGGTCCGCGGAGATGGTGTGGTTGCCAACCGTGAAGGAGATTGGTGTGATCTGCTGGCTCACGGAGAAGTTGAGGCTGCCATCATCTTCCCTGATCACGGCAAAAGTGCGCGAAGATCTCTTGCATGTACCTTCGGAGACACTCGGAAGAGCTCCATCGCCCTTGGCAGACGTGTCGCACTCGGTGGGGATTGTCTCGCCGTTCGCATGCTGACGGACTTGGAAGTCGTAGCTGCGCGCTTGTTAGATGGGCGACGAGTGACGGGGAAAGAAGACGTACTAGCACAGTCCGCCGTCAGCGACACAGTATGCAGAGAAGTTGTCGACATCGTATCGAGGCGTGACATCGGCTGCGGCGCTGGCCACGGCAACAGCAAAGAAAGACGCAAAAGCGGAGAACCTCATGATGATCAGGAGGAGGAGGTATGTATTTAGAAGAGAGATGAAAGCTCTTCCGATGTTGTTGCAAATGGACAGATCAGAAGATGTAAGATGCGGATAACTCGAGGTCTTTACGTTGGCGACCACTCTACGCTTACCCACCGCTACATTGCGCGACTAGCTGCCTTGGTAAGCTGATCGCGAGCACGTTACGTCTTGCCTCGTTAGTATACCCTATTTCCACAGCGATCTTTCTATGAATAGCGGTGTGCAGCTCGATGTGGAAGCTTATCCTGACGTCTTACCCCCGCGGTATCGCCGAATACGATGTACGAAATGACCCGAGTCTTCCGAGACTACCGCGGCTAATGTTGCATAGTGCGCCGACGTGGTGTATGCAATTCTGCCGAGTCTTCGGGCGTAAGCATCATCTTGTTCTGCGGAATCTTCTGCATGATCCGTTGTTGTACGAGGTCGGGCGTACGTGGGATTGTAGTGTGTGTGGTATCGAGGTTACTACGCTTCAGGATTTCTTGTTCGTGATATGGGTGTATGCGATGAATCTCATCCTACCGCTCGAATTAGTAGTCCCCAATGTGAACGCGCTAACTGCGCACGGCAGCCGACCTCGCGTTGTGCTCGCGCTGCTCCCTTCTCTCTGAGATTCGTCGGGATACTCAAACGACCGCCTGGCATAGTCACGGCAAGACTGGATATAACGGCAAACTTGATGTCAGATTGTCAAGCGGCCCAGGGTGGCAATCCGCTCTATCTTAGCGCCTTGCGACACCTTCGCTTGCACAATGGCAAGTGTTTTGTTACCCTGGAAGCTCGTGAGAGATCCTCGCATAAGGGGCTGAGCGGACAGCCGAGAAGGGATTCGAGGGTCGTTGTGTGTGACCTGAAGTCTCGCAAGTCATGGTCCGGCATGAGGGTATCTGGTAGAGGAAGAACATAAACGTGTCGAAAGATCTACTCGACATCATGAGACACACAGTAGCATGAGCTTCACATTGAACAATGATAAGATACTTCAACTTCTTGCATGTATTCTGTAAGCCGTGGGTTTCGACCACGAGAGTCGCGTTATCGCGCTGTCACGAATTGTCCAGTCGCAAATTGTTCGCGGACGGGGTCGCAACAGCGGACTACATTCTGGGTACCCTGTTTTCCAGGAACTCATCTGGGTCGTCACTCTCGAGCCACACTGGGCATTCGACGGGAGTCTGTTCAAGAGCCGTCGTTAGACCGCCAACCTCGCGCCCAATTCTCCAAAATCCGTTCCTGGTCTTCCGCATTAGAACCCCAGTACGGAACACAGAGTTCACCACCGCGAGTACGCAAACCTCTCGCATGATATATTCCGTGAATATCAAGAAAGGGACAATCCTTCCCGCTGCAATGCGTCTCGCTCAGTTCGTAACTCCACCAACCCGCCGCATAAGCTTTTACAAATTCTTGTTGGCTTGGCATGCGTCCTCCTTTCCTGATCTTGTTTAGCCAGTTCCAGGACTGAATTAACACCGACAGAATGTCACTGCGCTTGTTAAGGGTTGAGTGATGGGATGAGTAGAACGGGTGGATATACGGGAACGGTAGATTGGCGAGGAAATGAAGCGTCGTTCTGTAGGCCAGAGCAAAGTTACAGGGGCACCAGGTCTCAAGTTCCTCTGATGAAGCAGGTAGCGATGCGAGGTCGAAGCCAGAAGTTGAGAAGGCATTGGAAAGATGGTCCCGCAATCGGCACGGAGGACATGTACGGTTCCTGTTGATCATAGCGAGGTCGTCGTCCGGAGGTTCATATCGAAGCGGCTCCCAAGGGGCGGAGGCAAGTGGTCGTGAATCAATTGTTTCCCCATACTGGGCAGAGCAGGGAAAGTCGTGGCATTGACTGAGTATCTCCCACGCATATCGCCCACGCTCGAAGATCTGGGATCTAATCTGGAATTCCTAATCCAGTCAGCAATGCATGCGCAGAAGCATACAGGGTGAGGAATGTACGCTTAGCTGCTGGCTACCTGGGGCTAACAGACTACTCCAGTTTGGGTGGTTGTGTGGACTTGGACCAGCCCAACACTTCCTGAAATGATTCCAACCCTCATATGCGTCTTTCCAGGGCTGTTGAAGGTCGGGATAAACGCGTGAATAGCCGCCGAGTATGAGGTCTGGATCAGAATGA